GTAGTAGTACTGGTAGTACTGGTAGTAGTAGTACTGGTAGTACAGGTAGTAGTAGTACTGGTAGTAGTAGTACTGGTAGTACAGGTAGTTGTAGTACTGGTAGTAGTAGTACTGGTAGTACTGGTAGTAGTAGTACTGGTAGTACAGGTAGTAGTAGTACTGGTAGTAGTAGTACTGGTAGTACAGGTAGTAGTAGTACAGGTAGTAGTAGTACTGGTAGTAGTAGTACTGGTAGTACAGGTAGTAGTAGTACTGGTAGTAGTAGTACTGGTAGTACAGGTAGTAGTAGTACAGGTAGTAGTAGTACTGGTAGTAGTAGTACTGGTAGTACAGGTAGTAGTAGTACAGGTAGTAGTAGTACTGGTAGTAGTAGTACTGGTAGTAGTAGTACAGGTAGTAGTAGTACTGGTAGTACAGGTAGTAGTAGTACTGGTAGTAATAGTACTGGTAGTACTGGTAGTAGTAGTACTGGTAGTACAGGTAGTAGTAGTACTGGTAGTAGTAGTACTGGTAGTAGTAGTACAGGTAGTAGTAGTACTGGTAGTACAGGTAGTAGTAGTACTGGTAGTAATAGTACTGGTAGTACTGGTAGTAGTAGTACTGGTAGTACAGGTAGTAGTAGTACTGGTAGTAGTAGTACTGGTAGTACAGGTAGTAGTAGTACTGGTAGTAGTAGTACTGGTAGTACAGGTAGTAGTAGTACTGGTAGTACAGGTAGTAGTAGTACTGGTAGTAGTAGTACTGGTAGTACAGGTAGTAGTAGTACTGGTAGTAGTAGTACTGGTAGTACAGGTAGTAGTAGTACTGGTAGTAGTAGTACTGGTAGCACAGGTAGTAGTAGTACTGGTAGTAGTAGTACAGGTAGTAGTAGTACTGGTAGTAGTAGTACTGGTAGTAGTAGTGGTGAGTGCGAGAGCGAGGCAGGAGACCAACCTCAGCCTCCCGCCGCCGCCCACAGATGGCGCCACCCGCCGCGTCAACATCACTCTCCCAAAACATATTTTTTCCTCCCTTTCTCTCCGCTTAAACCTTCCACCATACCCCCAAAAAAAACCTAAAAACCCCATATACCGTCCTATATAACCCTTAACGTCCCTCAGATTGACATAACTGAATAAAAGGTTTCCAATCAAACTGCATATAGGATAATTTTAGTGCATGATTCTGCCCTTGAAGGAACAATGGCAGTTCATGCAAGCCGCTCTGGCTATAGCGACGGGATACAGTCTCTCCTGTATTTAAGACACTATTCCTGGTGTGGGCGTGATGTGTGGGCGTGGATATGGGCGGGCGTGGGCCGGGGGCGCTCCTGTGGAGTGTGGGTCTTGGAGCCAGTGGCGCAGTGCAGGAAAATTTGAGTTAATTTATTGTGCATGATTGTAGCCGTGTGGTGAGCGTCAGGCGGAGTCTCTCTTCACCGCCTCCTGTTAACGCCAACGGTGTCTGGTGGGCTTCTGGTAACGCCAACGGTGTCTGGTGGGCGTCCTGTTAACGCCAACGGTGTCTGGTGGGCTTCTGGTAACGCCAACGGTGTCTGGTGGGCTTCTGGTAACGCCAACGGTGTCTGGTGGGCTCCTGTTAACGCCAACGGTGTCTGGTGGGCTCCTGTTAACGCCAACGGTGTCTGGTGGGGCTCCTGTTAACGCCAACGGTGTCTGGTGGACTCCTGTTAACGCCAACGGTGTCTGGTGGACTCCTGTTAACGCCAACGGTGTCTGGTGGACTCCTGTTAACGCCAACGGTGTCTGGTGGACTCCTGTTAACGCCAACGGTGTCTGGTGGGCTCCTGGTAACGCCAACGGTGTCTCATGGCTTCCTGTTAACGCCAACGGTGTCTGGTGGACTCCTGTTAACGCCAACGGTGTCTGGTGGGCTCCTGGTAACGCCAACGGTGTCTCATGGCTTCCTGTTAACGCCAACGGTGTCTGGTGGACTCCTGGTAACTCCACCAGCTATTCAAGGACTTATGTTAACTTCACCATTAACCACTGGCACCTGTGAGCCCCAATCAGCCAGTTACCAGTCGCTACGTAAACTGGTGTCATTCAACCAATCTCACCAAAGGGCTGAACCACTCAGTCTCGACTAAGTGCCTGGTGTAAGTAACATATAAGTTATATGTGGACTAACATATATGTTACTTCTCTGATGAGACAACTGACAGATTGGCATAGACAATCTGTATCTCAATCTATTCCAGTCTATGTTTTAGTTTCTCTAGTAACTAAGAGAGTTGTGGTTAAAATATGATTATTAAATAATTTGACATTCACATCTTTCTAACTATTTATAAGTAGACCAAACAAGAGAGAGGTGGTTACTTTACAATCGACTTGTGGACAGGAGTCACTTATGAAAAGTACAGACAGCTGTGAACAGTATATATATTTTTTCCACTTCAAAGTCAACGGTTGGAACACTTTAACAGGTTGAGTGGTACACAGAATTCACT